AGGACTCAGTTTACTGGGTTTATATTTGGGTCGGACTGGGAGAATGGATGTCTGAACTACACGAGTGATTCTATCGGAAATATAATTTATGACGCCAGCAATTTGAGCCACTGATATCTAAATAGATAGTTTAACCTGACTGTCTATCGCCACAATCTCTCTTAGAATTTTATTGGATACACAACACAAATCATGGTGTGCACTTGCAGTAAAAACAGCCGCTAACTTCTACTCACCATGATTATCATGGCCTGTACCGCGTGTACTAGGAATAATAATGAATTAAAAAAAAAAAAAAAAAAACAACAATGAACCGCTGAAATGATATCTCACCCAATAAAAAACGTATAACATGGCATTTATGAACCCATACGAACATCGAAATTTTGTTTGTCAACTTTTCCAACTTGGCGTTTCCTGATAAATCGATAATTTTTTAATTATCCGGTACGCTGTTGGTTTAATTGTTAGATGTGTTGTTTATACGTCGCTAGGGTGACCTAAGTGTTTGTTTGTTGTTCCTACGTGTTGGCACCTAATTGACTAAGCATGTAACCATTTCGAACTTCTAGTCTCTTCTTCTTCTTTCTTATCTCCACACTGTGGGTGAAGTAGAATGCATCTGCCTTTGTCATTAAAACTGGGAGCACTACTCAGTGGCAGGCCGACTTAGCTCCAAAAGAAATGGCCACCTCTGACATGAGGAACAGACGCCATGCGCAGCTTCTCCTAACATGGAGTACAAACGCTGCTCTTCCTGTATCCCTGGATTAGGAGCCCTTACAGGGTACTATCAGCCGGGCCAGCTGAGCCCAGGTTTTTTAGTGAGCTTGTTACTGCTCCCCCTCCTCCTTTTTCATCCGGGCTTGGGCGGAGTTCACTTCTAGTCTGATATAATGATATTGAATAGCCAATTGTATCATCAAAAGAGGTACCAAATCATAAGACGTGAATTGTATGTACAAGAGACTACACCTCATAATTTTATTCTCTTCTTTTGATAGTCTGATATCAAAATTCGAAAATATTATAGACGCGTATGTTTCTTTTTTAAAATAAACTATTTCTACTGTCCTTACTGCAATGGAAAAATTAATGGGAGGGCCTGGCTCATCATTGGTGAACCCTCCCATTAAACTGGCGAAACCGCTGGGAGGGTACACCACTGATGAGCCAGGATCTCCCATTAATTTTCCATTGCAGTAAGGGCAGTAGAAGATTGTTTAATTTTTAAAAGAATCATACGCGTCTATAATAGTTTCGAATTTTTATAAATTGTATATAGTTAGTTAAAAAGATATTTATAACCCAGGTTCCTGGAGCAGAGAAATTTCGTGGTTTATCCGTGTCTGGCTATCTCCTCGCATACCGGTGTAACCCCGGTCCGATCCCTACCTAAGCAGAAATAAAGATAAGTACAGTTTTTTTTATTTTATTTTATTTTATTTAACAAATTGTGAGTTATTATTTACTTTTTTGTTTGGTGTTGTACTCTTGCGTGTACGTTTTTTTTTTTTGGGTTCAAGTTACTCTTACGGTAGGCCCCAGTATATTGCATCTTGTGTTAACCCGTAAGAAGGAGGAGAGTGATCTATAAATAGAAAGCTCACCATTCCTGTCAAAATAGACTTCTTCTAATCTAAAGTGAAGATTTTCAAAAAGACATCTAAGGTAGATCTATCTGTTTTGCCGTCGAAGATAAGGGGTGTTGGTTTAACAATGGAGAGAGTTACCAAGTACATTTGTAGTTTATTGAAGAATATCACACGAAAGCGAAGAAGAGGTATATGATACATTCTATGTGTCGCCAAGATATACAAAGCTTTCTTGTAGATGCACAACACGCGGAAATCAAAGATAGATACAGCGAGGTTTCTACAGCATCGTAAATGGAGAAAGTGGGTCAACCAAAGAACTAGGTGTCAAGGAAGTTTGGCACGAGGGGGTCACAAAGACGAGGCGATAACATCAATACTAGCAGCAGGGGAGAGAACATACAGAAGCTGGAGGGAGCTGTCAGGGTTCTGGTTTGGCCCCTGGGGAAGGGGATACTGCCACGGGGGCTGCCCGTACGTGCCTACAACAGGCACAGAGACATCCAAGAGCACCGAGTGTGAGGAAGCCAAAGCCAGTCGCCAGTAGGATACACGCTAACAGCCAGAGATCAGGAGGCAGCTTGCCCCCATCGTGGGTCCCCGCCAACACGGCAGCTACCCCAAGTACCAGTAGACAGGCCCCTGAACCCCCAGCCACGAGGGCTGCAGCACAGGTGGCCTTGACACCCCGGCCACATCGACCAATGCCGCCCGCCATCTGCAACATCCCATTGGAATCAGTCCAGCAGTGTCTTCGTATGAAATACCTACACAACAGAATCCACAATACAATTAAGTCACCCATGAAAAACCACAGACTAAGACAGTCTCGCTGTGGAGATGGTCTTCATAAAATATTCTGATATGTCAGGCTAAGACAAAAGGAGTCTTTCAGATGAAACAGAATCCGATGAAAGACCACCTCCATGAGAGACGATAGCCTAAAAACATGGCTACCCTCTCTCTACTGAAAGTGGCTTCTATAAGAAACTATGTCATATATATATATATAGTCACACGACCGTCTTTCCTCATCGGCCTCTGTCACGGATGCGCGCGCACAGGGAGGTCACGTGCTCGCCGGCTCCCTCGAGCCGGATTTGAACCAGCGACCTAAGGATCACCGTTGTAACATCTACAGTCGGGTAAAACACGGGCGTTGCCCGGGCCATTCGTCTAGTATATATATAGTCACGACCGTCTTTCCTCATCGGCCTCTGTCACGGATGCGCGCGCACAGGGAGGTCACGTGCTCGCCGGCTCCCTCGAGCCGGATTTGAACCAGCGACCTAAGGATCACCGTTGTAACATCTACAGTCGGGTAAAACACGGGCGTTGCCCGGGTCATTCGGCTAGTGTCATATAAGGCTAAGACATAAGAAGTCTTTCAGCTGAAACAGAGTCCGATGAAAGACAACCTTTCATGGGCCATAACCTAAAAACATGTCCAAACCTGGTTTCTTCTGGAAGTGATCTCTCATTAATTCTGTCCTGTTAGACCAAGCCATGAGGAGTCTTTCAACTGAAAAAAGAATCTCTGACCACCTCCTGGTGTATTGTGGACATTGTTTTTTTCCATATAAACTCATAGACAAAACTTAAGGAAGTTGTATGTCCTTAACATCCCCCCTTAAGTTTTGTCCATTAGTTTATATTACTATACAGTTACGAGCGCATTCCTCATCAGGCCTCTGTCACCGTTTGCTTTTTTTTTTTTTTGGAATGGCGCCCTCCTATTGGTCGGCTACGGTCACGCCACCTTTGCCCCCCCCCCCATCATGCCTCCCCCACTCGCTCTTTCGTTTTTGTAACTATTGGTTTGGAGCGGGTCGCTCTTTAAATAAATGCATATATTAGTTAATAACCAAATGGAATCCTCTCTTTCTTTTTCCCAGTAAGAGACGCCTACGGAAGCCAACAGTACATAGACAGATAAAGCACATAGGCTATAGTTATTAACTAATATATGCATTTATTTAAGGCGCCAATTTATAATTGTAACAAATAGTATTTGAATCAAAACATTCAATCGGGTAAAACACGGGCGTTGCCCGGGTCATTCGGCTAGTATTGCTATAAAACGCAGGTATGAGTGGATACGTTAGAATCTAAGACGAAACTTCTTGTCTCTGTTAAGGTACTTATAGATGATGATGCTAATAACACTAAAAATGATATCTATACAGTTGAGTCTGTCATAGGAGACCTCTCTAAAGCATGTCTAAGCATTAGACATTAAAACCGATATAAGAGCTTTCGGCTTTATTCTTGTAATGAAGAAGGTGATGTAAATGGACTTAGAGTTACGCAGACGTATAAAAATAATTAAATAAAAGCAATTTAACAAAACAAATTTAATCCAAAAATTAAACAATAAAAATTTGCATATCTCTCGACAGAATGTGTTTACTCTAGTCAAAACCCAATAAATAAATATATACACAATTTAATTTTTTTATACGTCTGCGTAACTCTAAGTCCATTTACATCAACTCCCCCTTTTTACTTTCATTATATATGGTTCGAACGAAATCCTCGTCGCCATTGTTATTTTGCTTATTGAATAATTTATTAGAAATAGTGTAAACACATTTATTTTAAACAAAATAAAAAATATCAGAACTTATTAAAAAGAAGAAGTTTATTTACCTTCTTTAAAAATATTTACATAAAAGCAATTTAACAAGGGGAGTCATCTAGTATCAACGTCCCACAATCAATGTCCCATATACTAGATGACTGCCCGCTGTACAAATTCAATGGAGGAATCTCCAATCTCCATTCTGTCACCCCGGAAGCCCTGAACTGGCTGAAGGCCTTGCCTCTCAGACTTTAATGACCGATATGTCCTCACTTCTTTTTTCTAGATTTAATTCATTTTGTCTCCTCTCTAATTGTAAATACGCTGCTGTATCACCTCATAAGCATAAATAAATAAACAAAACAAATTTAATCCAAAAATTAAACAATCAAAATTTACATATCTCTCGACAGAATGTGTTTACTCTAGTCAAAACCCAATAAATAAATATATACACAATTTAATTATTTTTATACGTATGCGTAACTCTAAGTCCATTTACATCAGAAGGACGCTCTCTTGTTCCTTGGGGAAAGAAATTGCTCCAAAAGGTGAAAGGGCCAAATGTATTCGGTTAACGGCATAGATGGAAGAAGGCACTGACAAACCAATTCTGCATCAACCACTGCTGAGAAAATTATACATGGAGGCAGATCAAATTAGAGAATATCTGTAGAATGACATTTGAAAATTATCCCGAATGATTCTTTTAAACCAAAAATCGAAATTTATTTTAAGGAGAAATAACGATTATTTCTAAACCTTAAGGATGAGGTATGAAAAGATGAATTGTGAAGAGTAATGATAAATGGAAAAATAAAAGTATCCAGGGATGGGAAACGAACCCACAGTGTTCTGCTTACTGGGTAGAAACCATGTCCACTAGGCTACCCTCCTGGTTCAAATTCACATAAATAGGTACCGCTCAGCAAGAGCAACCTAGTTCATGATAATTGAACAATGAATAATATGTGAAGGTTATTCACATATTAAACAAAATTTAACGCGGGATTCAATCCCGGTTCATGACTGTCGGGAATCGAGGGGGTTACCCACTCGTCCACCGACTTATTACTAGGCTACCCTGGACATATTTTTCCATTCGTAAATATTATATATAGTGATTTTTATACAATATAATGCGGCCTATGATTGTAGAACGACAATTGAAAATTATCCCGCATGTGTTTCTTTTGAACGAAAAATCGAAATTTATTTTAAGAAGAAATACGATTTTTTCTAAACCTTAGGAATGAGGTATGAAAAGATGAATTGTGAAGAGTAATGATTAACGGAAAAATTGAGAATATTTGTTCATACGGTCACCAAAGGTCGAACTCAACTTGATGAAGACTGGCAACAACAAATGTCTACAGTAGGTATAAAATAGAATAGAAGGGAATACCAATAGCAAAAATATCATCTACAGTATTATTACCTTTAAATGTGTGATTAGATTTAAAAATAATGATATCAATACTTATTATTTTTTATTTATTACCAGTTTTAAATAAGACACGCTATATCCGATCTGGATAATTGCGCGTGAAACTATTTACAATAATTGTAGTAGAATAGGTAACAGAATTATCAAAAAGAAAATAAACAATTAAGAAAAAGAGCATTGAATAAACATATACATTAAACAAATAAGCAACAAGCAGATAGAAGAAATCGCAAGGTAGTTATTTACAATATGTTAAGCAATGATGGAAGTTGATTTGATGAAGTTATCTGTAAATTCAATTTTATTGCCATCTATCGTTAAAATTTTACACAAATAAATTTACTGGCAATGCGTTTCTTTTAAATATCATCAAATATTATCTCTACAGACCTTACTGCAATGATATGAGTTATTGAATGAGAGGGCTTGGCTCATCAGTAGTGAACCCTCTCAGAGGTTTCGCCAAATTAATCTCTAGACCGCTCTACTATTGTATTGGACTGGTTTTGTTATATACCCTGCATTTTCTATGGACGGCAGCTTAGGGGTGTTTAGTAAACTATGGACATAAGCTTATAGGTCTGTAGAGGTACATACATATAATTTCAAGGTTATTGCATCGAGCAAAGCTCTTCCGCAAAATATGTTTTCATAACCAATATATATTAGTAAATTCAATTTTATTGCCATCTATCGTTAAAATTTTACACAAATAAATTTACTGGCAATGCGTTTCTTTTAAATATCATCAAAATTATCTCTACAGACCTTACTGCAATGATTGTCAATTATAATAATATTTAGAATTTTATTAATATATATTTTACATACTAATTATTTAAAGAGACAAGGGTCGTCTCTCCCGTCCAAATAGACGTCTAAAACAGACGCCATCTATTGACCGTCGCCGCAACTAGCGGCCTCGGGTCGGTGACAAAGCCACAACACCAGCTTTGGCAAACTGAAAAGCGTCCACCTAGAGACCATGTTTTCGGGCTAATGGCCCTCGTCAGTCTAGGGCGGACTTTATTCTATGAGATCCACACGGGATCTTTTAGATCATTTTCCTCCCGGCAAAATTTCCATCTATAATTATTATACATATTTGTTCTTCTAAGAGAAAAGGGACATCATATATATTGTCGCGCAAACACCGCCGTGTCAAGCATATGGTAGATTAAACTGGCGAAACCGCTGGGAGGGTTCACCACTGATGAGCCAGGCCCTTCTATTAATTTTTCATTACAGTAAAGGCAGTATATAATTGTTTAATTTTAAAAGAATCATACGCGTCTATAATAGTTTCAAATTGTCATAACAGAAGACGCGCTATATATATAACAAATGAAGACATTAAGTCGCGAATGTTTCTTTTTCACAAATAAATCAAACTTCTACTATCCTTACTGCGATGAAAAAATATTGGGAGAGCATTGCTCATCAGTGGTGAACCCTCCCAGCAGTTTCACCAATTTAATCCACCAGACCGCTTCTTTAGAGTTCTAATACTGTATTGGATCATTCTGCTTATATATGTGAGGTGGTTAATTAACGACAATCCACATAAAACATTTACCTTATAAAATCAAGCCTTTTTATTACAATCACTATGGCTACACCTCGCTATATATTCAGACAACCAAAAGAATGAAAAGAAGAATGAATTCAATTAAATAGAAAAAATATATATATAAATTAGATAATAAAAGTTTTGCATATTTGCAACAAACAAATACGAATTTTTAAAAGCAAATAGAATTTACATAAAATAGAAATACAAAACAATAAATTTTACATGTCCCCTACATATGCTACACTGAAGGGTGGAATCTTATAAATGGTATTTAAGCTAACTATGGACATAAGTGTGCAGAGTATTAGGCTCATAGATTGTTGAGCTCTGGAAACCAAAAGGAATAATACTCTGCTAGTGATCTCTTTTGACTTGTATATAAAAGGGAGAATATTATAATAGGAAATAAACTAATGCTTAGTTAATCTTGCCTCGTCTTGGATAACAACACATGGTGGCAGCGGTAATTTTCGAAGAAAATTTGAAACTTGACATCAAGCAAACTTTTTGGTAAGTTATATTATATTATAAGTAAATCTTTATAATGTCCCAAAATTATAATTGTGTAGCCCCAGAACCTTTTAATTTTTCAAATCCAGGTGATTGGCCAAAATGGATTAGGAGATTTGAACGTTTTAGGCAGGCAAGCGGGTTAATTAATAACCCAGAAAATGAGCAAGTTAATATGCTCGTGTACTGCATGGGTGATAATGCAGATGACATTTTGTTGTCATGTAAAATAGCAAGTGACCAACTAGAAAATTATGGTAAAGTTATTGAATGCTTTGAAAGTCACTTTATTCCAAGACGTAATATAATTTATGAAAGGGCAAGATTTAATCAAAGATGTCAGCAGGAAGGGGAAAAGGTGAATGAATTTATCACAGCACTCCATAGCCTAGCTGAGCACTGCAATTTTGGGATGTTACATGATGAGTTGATTAGGGATAGGATAGTTGTTGGAGTAAGGGATAGAGCATTATCTGAAAGAATGCAACTTGATACAGACTTGACCTTAGTAAAAGCCACACTAATGGCAAAGCAATTTGAAAGTGTCAAAGAACAGCAGTCTAGCCTTTACCAACAAGATTCTATAGATCAAATAAAGAAAATGCCTAATCACATAAAAGAAACAAAAAGGCACGAACCAAAAATAAGACAATTCAAGTCAAACCAGTTGGGAGGGTCATCACATGGATGCACCAGGTGTGGCAATTCAAATAATCATGATTGGAAAAATTGTCCAGCGATGAACTCGTATTGTAGTAAATGCAAGAAAAAGGGCCATTATGCCAAAGTATGTAGATCAGAAGCCATAAATGAAATAAAATCAGAGATAGCTTTTTTGGGATCTATAGAGGATAATTCCAAGAAATGGATAGTACCAATTAAGGTAAATAATAGACAAATCAATTTTAAAATTGACACCGGAGCGGATGTCAACGTGCTCCCCCTACAAAATTATTATCAAAGTTTCCAAAGAATAAAACTGGAAAAATCTGATAAAATATTACAAGGTCCAAATGGAATACCCTTGGAAACATTTGGAATGATCCACGTAAAACTTCAAAATAAAGGCCAGCACTTAAACTCGAAAATATACATTGTTGATAAACTAAAGCAGCCACTTCTCTCTGGAGAGACAAGTGAAAAATTAAACATTGTGAGAATGATTCAGCAATTTTCATCAGGAGGCCGCGGCGGACAGCGTGGTAGACTCGGAAGTGGAGATAACAGAGGCTGCTACAACTGCGGGGAAGAAGGCCACCGCAAGTTTGAATGTACCAAACCTGCCCGTGGTGGTGGACGTGGCCGTGGAAAGAGCCGTGATGGAGGCAGCAACAACACCTGCTACAACTGCGGAGAAGTTGGCCACCGTAAATATGAGTGTACCAACAACACGGCTGAAGATGGAGGACAGGAGGAGAACCAGCGCAAGTCCAAGAAGTTTGGCCATAAGAAGGACGACTGCCCCAAATCTGGAACTCAAGAGTCCGGAGATGAGGAGGAGTTCTCTGACAATGAGGAGGAAGAGACTCCCCAGAAGAGGAAGCAAGCTGAGGACAGTGAGGAGAAGGAAGTAGAAGCTGAAGAACCTCCCAAGAAGAAATCTAAGAAGCCCAAGTCCAAGAAGAAAGAAGAAGATTGCTATCTGACTCTTCAAGCACATAGGACGATGCCCCTGGAAAGCGCCAGGAGCAGAGAAATGAGGAGACCCCCACTTCGACATCAACCTGGCTCTCAAGGAGATGCAAGGATGACCAGGAGCAAGAGACCGAGGAAGATTGCCCTACACCAACGGCCTCATCTACAAGAGATGGAAGGATGCAGAGGGACAACCAAGACCAGGATCCAGAGAAGAGCCTCCCTTCAATGCCAGCCGTGCATACAAGATATGGAAGGGCAGTCAAGATACCTCGAAGGTTCCTGTAAAGTTAAGGGAGGAGATGTGCAGAGTATTAGGCTCATAGATTGTTGAGCTCTGGAAACCAAAAGGAATAATACTCTGCTAGTGATCTCTTTTGACTTGTATATAAAAGGGAGAATATTATAATAGGAAATAAACTAATGCTTAGTTAATCTTGCCTCGTCTTGGATAACAACACAATAAGCTATTAGGATAGTAGAATTACATTTTTCATCGCAGTGAGGACAGTAGAAGTTTGATTTATTTGTGAAAAGAAACATTCGCGTCTTAATATCTTCATTTTTTATATATAGAAGCATATAATACATCATACTAATTGAAAACGGATAGAAAACATTTATATTATCTTCTAGCTAGGTATCAATATCACATCACCATTTATTTTTTTATTTCAACACACAAAACGCGATATCCCAGCTAGGGATAATTACGTCGATTTACATTTTTTTTTA